ATTATTCAGAATAAAATAAATTATAAATGTTCAATATTTCTTGTACAAGTTTTTAATACAAACTCAATTGGTATAGATATTCTGGTGACTTAGAATTTTTTTAAAAAATTGTATGTATTACATTTTTAAGGTCACTGGATATATTAACACAAAACTCATGCTTTAATTTTTGAAATACTTAGAAGGTGATAATTAATTACCCATGACTGGGTAAATTGTAAACTTTTTATTAACAAAAAACATAACAACAAAATAATTTACAACAGAACCTAATCCGCCTAGTACCACTTCTTCAACTCCTTCTTTTTGGGGAGCAAAATGTGCGTATTGACGGCAACCGGAACCACGTAGGGCTTATACACCGGAACCGGATGGTGCTTTTCTACGATAATTTTCACCGGCTTTTCCTTATAAACTGGCACAAGTTTTTCCACCGTGATGGGAACCTTCTTTTCCACTTCCTCCGGTACTAACTTAAAAATGGGCACTGTGAAGGGTTGCTTGACCGGAATATGAACCGGATACGGCTGCGGAACCGGAACTTTGAGAATATGAGGCGACGAAAATTCCTCGTGAATTTCAGGTTTCGTTTCGGTGATTTCCACATCGACTTCTTTTGTCTGGCCGATTTCCTCGTTTTTGAAAATGTTTTCCAGGCTTTGTTTGATCATTTTTTCCAATTCGCTGGTTTGTTGTTCGTTGAGATTGCCGAAAGTCCATTTTTGGGAAGACTGTTGTGGAGTTAGGTTTGTCTGGGAGTCGTCACTTTTTTTTGTTGAGATGATTCGGGCCTTGGTCAAACCCAAGACAAGTGTGACTAAAATCTGAAATTAAAATGATTTTCTGTGATTTTTTTGGAAAAATATGCTTACGGCAAATTGTGCTGCTTTGTACATGGTGTTGAAACTAATTTCAAGATCGGACTGGTGATAACATCAATGCGTGAAGACTTTTATACCCGGTGCTAACGCATATGCGGTGAAAGGAGTTTGAAATTGATAAATCTAAAATCAGTTGAAGCGTTTCACTAAATTTTTGGCTATTTTTGACTACACTTGGGCCAGTTTTTATTAAAATAAAAAATATTGATTGGGGATTATTCAAATAATCTTTTTGTTTATTACTATGAACAATTTTTATTAAAAAAAAATCGAACAATTGCCAAAAAAATTCAAATATTGTCACGCTCTATTAAAGCGAAAATAATTCACTAAATGCAAATTTAAACGTTAAGCTTTCTTGTATTAGAAGTAAGTAATTAGTTTTAATTAAAAATTAAATCATTGTTTTGGCGTGTTATTAGATGTTAATCGTTATTTTCGTAACAAAGTTAATTAAAAATTTTAATTTAAATTTGATCCACTTGATAAGAATGAATTGTTTAAACTGCGAATTTTAACTCTTGTAAAAATTTAAATACAGTTTTCACTTAATGAAAGTCAGAAGTTTCACACTGTTTGAAAAATGGTCATATAAAGCCGTTATTTTATTACAACCTCTATTTGCTTTAAAAATCAGATGATCGCAGATTGAGTTAGGGGGTGAAAATATAAAGGCGATTTAAGCGAGCAAACCGAATTTTCATGATCCTAAACAGATTTTTTCGAACGAATTGAGTCACTTTTTGCAATTACTTTGACAAAGTCAAAGTCTGTTTGTTTAAAAATTATGACCGAGCCTCTACATGTATTTAATTATAAATTGTCATTAAAAAAGGGAAGTTTGCGCGGATTCTTGAAAATTAATTGCTTTTTGTTTAATTCGTCGCTGTTGGAGCTACGAAATTGCGCACATATTTTTGTGGTGGAGAAATGTCTTAACGAGATGTAATTGAGTCAGGTGCTCGGATTATCAACGTGCTCGTTGTTCCATTAGAAAAACGACAAAGAAGAAATCATCTATCACGTTGACAGCAGCGACACAACTAATTGCTTTTTTACTAGGCGAGCTATTGTCTATTCCAACTCTATTACTATTTATTTTCGAGGAAATACAGTTTTGCTTCATTTAAAAAATAGATGATTTGTTCCCGTAATTTAAAGTGGTCTTAGACCCCCTCGGTGCGAAAACAATAGTCTTGCAGCATCGCTAGTCTTGAAATATAGGTAGGAATTACTTAGTTATAGGCGTCCAGGGAGAAAAAATAATTAACAGTTTCTAAAGGAAGGAGCGTTATTTATCACCGACACATTGTGCGGCGCGTCGGTCGATAAAGGCCAGGTGAGTCGTAGAAAGGCTCCGAGATGGGCTGGGGGCGAGGGAGGCGGCGGAGGAGGAGCATGGGGAGGCTTACGACAAGGTTCGATACCTAAACCAGCGGCAGGCCTGCCTGGGAGATGGAGGCTTTATCAGGTGGTGGATGCGCTACGTGCATTAATCATTGCAAAATACCGATGACAGCTGATATGCGATCGCACATTATCTGAATCGGGGAGTTATTGTTATATTATGAATTACATCGCGTGCTAAACTGCTTTTGAATTCATTTCGCCACCTGCTCGGACACGGTTTAAATACCAGGATGCGAACGATAGTGATTTACGGAGACGCTAATGTGGGATCTCGCTTATTGAATCACGATATGAAATCAAGTTTGGATTCGATTACAATCTTGCACAATTGAAGAATATTTTAGTGCTTTAATACACTAGTAAATTCCCCACAAAAGTCCCATAATTAAACAAATAGTTTTTACATGACTTGACAGCGTTATTTAACTGCATAATAGTATATTATGTTATTAGGAGTTAACGTGATAGTTTATGTGGCGAAGCTGAATGTTAATTTTTTATTTTTTACTTTAAATACTATTTTATAATAAAAGGATTCCATCGTTGGTACAAACTGCAAGTGACCTAAGAAAAAGTTTTCATTAACTTAACCTCATTTTATTTTGCTTACCTTTAATTTTTTATGTTTCTTGTGTTTGACCTTACCACCGTCCGGAAATGAATAAAATAATCAGAACGATTTGAAATAAAATCATAACAAACGTCACGAGTCTCTATCGATTTTCGAAAGTGTTTATTGATTTAACTAGTGGTTGACTAGTGCAGTTAGTAGTGCAAAATGTCGAATTAATTTACAATTACCTCTCCAGAAATTGGTAAAGAGAAGAAAGAAACAAACATTGTTAAATTTCATGGTAAAAGTAAAATCGCTTAAGCGAAAAAAACAGAGTTTTTATTCCATGCCTGAAAATAACACATCACTTTTGTGACGTTTACGGATAAAAGTTGTTTTTAAATTAGCTACGATAATTCAAAATTGTTTTTTAATTAATGCTGATATTATAAACTTGTATGGCTTGGCAATGTTTTACTATTTGGCATTAGAAATAAATATCGTAAAAAATTATAAAAACAACACAAACATCTTTTTTGAATACATACATAAATGCTGATTTTACACGTGCTTCACCATGTGTCAATAATTAAGTATGATTTTTGTAGATTTTCGTAAATTCATGTTTTCTGTGGCGATGACTAAAATCAAAACTTCCACATTTTGATGAAAAATATATCATTGCTCGTTTAAAAAATAACACCAAGTCTGTCACTCACCTGTTCCGTTATCAAGTTTTTATATTTGTGTCAAAACGTGAAAGGGAAGCTTTTATTGTTAATCTCTTGTGTTTTTTCTTTCGCCTGTAAATCTACAGTAAATTACGTTGTCGAATTTTGTGACCTGTTGTCCAGTGAGTCGATTTTGGTTGCAGCGAACGGAACAAATTGAAATCTTTACCACTTGTATCTTTTGGATAGCTTCACTTGTAGACAATATAAAATCGTCTAAACTAAGTTCGGTGGGCGTGCCCTGAATCATTTATCATTGTTAGAGGCTTGTTGGTCTTTTTCCCTTCGCCACGAAATGAGTGTGTTAACAGATTTTAAAGTTTTTTCAAGGGTTAACGAACCCTTGAAGCATTTAATCTGAAGTTTCCGTGCGAGATAGGAGCGATTCATCAAAAACACGTTTCCGAACTCGTCTTTACTTTTTCGTGACATTTAATTAAGTATCCTTTTTGATTCCTGGAGGACGAGCCACCGAGAGCTCTAATACGCTTTTTCGCCTTAAGCTTCAAAATTTCTCGTTTTTATTACGTTACAAACATTTCCAAAAGCCTGTTAAAGCAACACTGTTTGGAAAATCCCTTGAGCGTTTATATATCGCCTTAAAAACATAAAGTTTTTATCCGGCGCGTGTCACCTTGAACTTAACCGCGCAGCTTTGCTTACAAAAGCACCTGTTGTAGTTCGCGATATTCTCATTTCGTTGTGCACCAAAGCAGTTTTTAGCGCTCGGGGGGTTTTCATATCTGTTATCTTCAGTTTCAATTACATTAAACAAATTAACTGAAGCAGCTAATTAATCCACATCCGGAATTTGCATGATTTTTAACTAACAAATCGCAAACAGATGACAAACATATTTCTCCTTGCTTGTCTAGGGAGAAATTTACATATCAAGGATTTGCCAAAGCACGGGATTTGCCGGGACAAAAAATAGAACACAAACAAATATAAAATCTCCAAGTAAATGAAAGGGCCTTCATTCATTTATGAGATATAAATATCTTCCTGATTTAATTAGCTAAAACTCGAACAAGACTCAAAATAAACAGATTACCTACTTAATTCTTAAAATAGCTCAAAAAGAATTGCTAATGATTTCGAAACGGTCCAAAACGACTCAATCACACCGCCACAAGTATATATTTTATCTGATTAACCAAAAATTTTCTTGTTAAACATCCTTTCCGACTTTTAAAATTCAGTTCCGATTGCCTTTTCTTTTCATTAAGTTATTTTTAGAAGTCTTTTAAATGAATTTTAAGTTAAAGAACACTCTTGTATTTCTGATGCCGCTCAGTTTATTTTGTTTGAAGCTTATAGGTAGTACATTTCAGATTTTGATTAAGTTTTTTTAATCTTTTTTGGGATTAATATTTAATAAGCTTTTCTATAAATCCAGAAATTCTTCATTCTATATTACTTTTTATCATAAAAGCTTTTTAACATCTATCCACCCTTCCTTGTGTTTGCTTTTGTATTTATTTTTAGCCTTTTTTGCTTATTTTAAATGTGCTTCTATGCTTATAATAGTAAAAACCCTTCCAAAAAGATGCATTTTTGACGTTGCTCGGTATATTTTATTCATTTGATTTAAAAACACATTTTTGGTTAAAATTTTCAATATACTACTCCGCTGAGGATTATTTGTAGCTTTAAAACACCAAAAACTCGGGTATAGAAAAACACCAGCTTTTACAACAAGCAAATAAAATGATTTGAAATAAATCGTATGGGTTTTTTCCCCATTTTCCTCTCTGATATCTGAGTAAGTATCGTCCCCTGGCGGCTAGTAGCCGAATTTCTCGGCAAAATCTGTAACGTTTTGGGAGATGCTGCGTGCGTATATCGACTTTCAAGTAAAAAAATTCAAATGTAGAAATAAACTCGATTATGTTTAAATAAATTTATTAGATTACTATATACACTCAGGTTTCTATACTAATTATAAATAAATAAACTGACACCTTAGATATTCCCTATTGGTTTTAAATAACTAAAAATGCCATTTATTTGCAATGAGATATTTTTTTATATTTTTTATTTGATTCTCCTTGTATGTGAAATGTGGGTACAATGTTCGCAACCAACACTTCCTTCTTTAGTACAAGAAACAATTTTATTTAATTTTATTGAAACAAACGAAACATCTACCACTAACAAACATAAAAAACCTAAATGTTATAATTGTTCATCGAACCGGAAACTAATTACATCGGATATAATACACAATGACACAAAAAATTGATTTACAGATATGTGTTGGTAATAGTCTTATTTGAGTGCTTCCTCTTGACAAAAGACGCTCATGTATCCGTTGATATCGTCTTCTGTCAGTCCTCGAATGGCCACTGTTGCGGAATTATCGAAAGCTCCACTGGACACAAGACGAACGGTAGTAGTCCCACATGCGATCACTTCCACGTGCTTTCCTAGAAAATTACAAAGTTATTTATTACCAAGTTGCGTGCTATCTGCTGGTGTGCAATTAAAATGCAATGTTTTAACTTAAACACCTGTTTACAGGAGATTTATTGAGATACGTGAACAAACGCGAGATTTAAAATTATTAAATGACAGATTTGCATACACCTAGTTATTAGTCTCAACGGAGCACGAAATAATCGCGCTAATTAAATTTTTGTGAAGCGTTCGTTGTAATCAAACTAATTCGGTTTTGTCAACACAAAGATAATTATTTAAATATTTAGACAAGATTTGTCGATTTCTCTTTGTTGACTAGTTTGAAACCGCTACAGCGCACTGACTCGGTTAATTAGTGATTTGAATAAACTTAACTAGGAAGGGTTTATCTTTAGGCGCAATAAATTATTTCATTTAAGGGTTTATTCTCTACTAGGGAACTAACCTGGTTTTGAGTCGAGTCCACAAACTGAATCCGCGATGAGCAAATTCGCGTTGTCCAAGCCTCGGGAACCGCCGATTTGTAAGTAGTCGTCCAAGCCACGTTTTTGACACTGCGAACAAAACCCAATGTAGAAAAAACACTTTCGAGTTATTAAGGTAAAATACTAAGTAACTGAGAGTGAAAAAAAGAACAAAAAGAAAGAACTGTCGAAAGATTTTAAAAAACACTTTTGTAACTTTTTAAAATATGAAGAAAAAAGATATCATCTGTCAGTAAAGTCATTGCCCATTGGCACTCAAATATAATTTTTTATTAGTTTATTTGCTTGTTCGATAGCTAAATTTATTACTTTTTATTCTAAATCTTTCTCTTGGTAATAGAAAGTGAAAAAAAATAATAGAAGAGTTTTCTAAATCGCAAAAATACAAACATAAAAATTTGTATTAATTAGAATATAATATTGTCTAAATTCAATCTGGAAAAGAATACCAAAAAAAAATTCAAAGCGGATTAAAATGGAGAGCAAAATATTTCGGTGAATCTCCAGATCAATTGACACTAATTATAATACTTGACGACTGATTGAAAATTTGTTACTCTTTTCTTGCTCCAAACATACTGAAACAAAGTGTTAAAAGGTAAATAAAATAAACACAAAAAATTGTTTTAATTATTATAAAGTCATTGTTCGTCAATATAATTTTGTTTAACTTTAGAAACGTCAAAGAAAAGTTTAAGAGAACCAAAAAAAATATTTCAGCAGATTATTTTCACAAATATATCGACGGCAAAAAAGGCAACTTGGGTAGACTAATATAGGAAGCAAAAAATTGTTGACGGAGATTAACCCACTCTTATTGCAACTCTTATCGATTATTAATAATAAAGACTTCAAATATTGACAGAATCAACACAATCTGGATTGCAATCGAGTAGAATGTTTAAGGATTTGAGTTAAAAAAAAATAAATCTAAATTTTTTCGAATCAAGGAAAATGTTCATGTAAAATACTAAATTCTTTTAGAACGCACGACTCCTGACATTTTTCTTATCACTTGATTAACTTTTAACAAGTGAAAAACCGAAGTTAAAAATGAAAAATTTGTGTGGGTATTTCCGATCATGATTAACCAACTGAACCAAACTTTCCACTTTCGCATCTCAAACTTTTCATAAAGTAGCTTAAATCTCCCCCACATCTCATACCTGATCACCCCTAATTATAAAATTAATCCAAAACCTATCCATGCAATACCTGCGACCGCACCTTATGGATGGTGCCAGTTTCCAACTCGATGCCTCTTCCAAGACTGGAAACAATTCCAATATTCAAAGAAGCGACTCTTACTGCAGCAGGGAACAAAGTACTCAAACTACAATTCGATCTTTTCCCGTAATTTCTCAACGTATAAATATCCTCCATCGACTGGAACAACACATTGCAGGCTGGAAAAAACACCAAAATACGGAAACACGCCAAAAATACGACAACTCACGCGTCGGATTCTTAATAAACCTGACGCTGAATCCGAAACTCGTGCCTTTGGCCGGCATCCGATACTGAATAAGTGCCACATTCTGCGAGCTTTTAAACGTCTGTTTGACTTTCCTCTTGCCGCAGAACTCGGTAAATCGGGAATTTAAGGGCAAGGGATGGTCGGAAGGGCTGGGGAAAAATTGGCCGTTCAACTCCCAACCATCCACAAACTGAAAAAGTTTAAAAAGAAAAATGAAGAAAAGAAAAAACAGAACTTACAGATACTAAACCGCCGTTTTCACAAGGAACGTCCAAATAATTGAAGTGGACTTCGATGGTTTGGTCGGGATCGCTGAAAATGTAAGCCCCACAAGCGGTACCATCAGCAATGCTCGATTTGTGGTAAAAGTCGCCCTCTTCAGATGTCATAAAAATGCAATCTGAAAGTGAACACAAGCAGTTTTAGTAGAGGAAAGGTGGATTGGAAATTCATTTAGGGCAACAAAAGTGTATTTTAGGAGACGGAATCCAATTTGTCAGATAAAACAATTATTTCCATTATTTGTCTCTACTTACACGAGACTTGTGCCCATTTGGAAGGGAAAAGAAAGGAAAACAATGAGAGGTAAGGGTGAAATAATTGAGTGAAAACAAACTCTATTGCAACTTCTTTAAACTAACGTAGTACTTGGTACTGCTCTGTTATTTTCTCTCTTTATATTTATCTAATAATAATAATCTTTGGTATATTTATTGGTTAGTACTTTTTTTTCGGAATTGTAGTGAAAATACGACTGTCTAATTTTTTTTTCTTTATTTAATGTGCATGACCTTATTAATTGTTAGAATCAAGATTAAAATGTAGTTCTTAAATTAGATTTATCCTGCGACAAGTCTTTTTTAATTACATTTGTTAAAAAGTTGACTGATGGTTTCTTATTTTTTAATTAAAGTGTGTACAATTTAGTAATTAAAAACCCCCGCCCCTGATTTTGTTTCCTCGGGTTTCCTTCGCGAAAAGACGTCTCCAAGTCCAATATCATAAACGAATGTCAAGCTGAAGCTTTAATAAGTGTATAATCTTTAGAAAAACCGTAATTTTAACCTTAATGGTTTTCATCTCTGAACAAACTTAATTTAAAATTAAACGAAGTTTTCTGTAGTTATTGTTGTTTTAAGCACTTTATGTCGACATTAAAATTACGACATTTTTAAATTTCCTTTCAGTGAGGCACTCAAAACCCAATCAGTGTCTTAACTTACCTGTTATTATGTGATCTGACGTCCTTTTCGAACGCGCTTGAGCTAATGGTCCTCTAGTTAATTGTTTCTGTAAATGGACAGAATTCAACAACCGTCTAGCATTCACCTGAAAAGAAACGGTTTATTCAGCAAAAAATGTTTTAAGTAAGTTTTAAAATTTTCTTTAGAATTGTGAAAGTTTTATGAAGTTTTGTAAGGCCTCAAGCGAGCTAGAAACGCAACGTATTGTTCCCGATTTCGATTAATTGAAGCGAGAAATTGTGATCAATAAAGAAACAGTTTAGTTTTTATTAGAATACCGATCACGAGCTTAGAACGTTGAGTAACTATTAATTTAATAATAATTTTATTTTCGGAAAAGTGCTCTAAGTGAATCAAGAATGAAAGACACGACTCTTCCTTAATTGTCTTCATTGAGCTGAGTCAAGAGAAAAATTCGGATGTTTTTACTAGTATCGAAGTTTCTGCTTTTGACACTAATTGTCTGCGAGTCGAATTAGTAATTTCCCGCATGTCGAAGCAAATACAACTTATTTGCATTACGATCCTGGAACTAAACTACTAAAGCTGTCTTATTAGAGCACATGTTACATATTGTTGACTCGACCGCAACTTCCCTAAATTAAATCTGAAATTGTAACACTAGCATATTAATTACAATTTCTCGACTCGAAAATCTTATTTTCCTTCATGACGCAAAAAGAGCTCCGACACAACAGGTGTTTCAATATTTGCTTTTCATTTGCTTCAAACTTGTGTTATTTCGAATCTCATCAGTTCCAGTATTGTCCTTGTTTATCTCCACAGTCCTTGGACTAATAATTTGCTATTTAGCAATCTTAAGAATCTTCTTTGATGCACAGGATTAGGTGAGAACTTTACTCGTTTAAAATTCATCTACCGAGCTTACGAGTGAAGACCGACTTATCCTTCCGGATCCTTCAATAAAGGTATGCATGAAAGCTAAATCCTCGGAAAAATCCGAATAAAAATTGCGCTTTAGTGAATTTTACAAAACGCCAAATAATTACAGTCCAGTTAACTTGGCCAAATTTAATTCAACAACGGCATTTTCATCAAACTCAATAACTTGTATATTATATTTACTAAACTTATCTCCAAAATCCCCGCGGAATATATTTGTGTCTATAACACAACAGAAATAAAATTAATTTCCCAGCTGTCAGCAAAAATTGAATCAAAAATTTAGACATGTCTGAATTTAATATCTGGTCAGTCGGATTTTGAAACGCTGACTTATACAAAAATTTAATATTTGCATTTTTCTCGTGACGGTTTTCAGAGCTACGAGAAGTTTTTATGAAAAAATGCAATCCGAGTAACTTACTTAATATTTAATAAAAACAACTCGCATTGCAAGTAAAGCTATTTGTTAAAAATTTTGAGTTTGATAAGGAAACAAATAAAATTACTTATTAAGCAACAATACATCAAAAATAACTGATAACATTTTGAAATGTAGACTGACGAAATAAGAAATTTCACAAATTATCATGAATCATTTATCGAAAACAAGAAAAATATTGAACATGACAAAATTATGATGCATATCAATTTTTGCCAAAATAATTTAATACGAAACGCCCCTTTAATTAAATTTTGTAACAACTGTGTCTGTTGGGAATATTACATAATACCACTGCACAAATTAACTAATTAAAAATATGACCAGTTTATGTGAAAATGTGGCCAAAGTTTTATTAAATTTAAAATACTAATTGAGAGAACAAACTGAGTATTAAAAACACTGAAATAACAATTTCAAAATATATAATAACACGAGGAAAAGTCTGAATAATTGTGATAAAGGAATAACTGAAAATCAACACCAGAATTTTGTTTTCAAATTTTCAATTTTATACAAAAAAAAGTATAAACAGGCTTGAAGCAACCCTCAATGCAGATGATTTTTTTCTGTTGTGAGCTAAAAAATTGGGAAAAAATACTTGTATAAGCAATAGATGACTGCGTTAATGTGGTCATTATTTTGAATGTGTAATTACCGAAATTCCGCTTATGACGGTTAAAATTCCCGGCCCAATTGCATCCCCCGTTTGCAATATTGCATAGTGCATGATTTGAATACTCGTCTCGAATCTCATTAAGTTTGAAATATGAAAGTTTCCTACCTCTGGTTGGATTTCAAATCCGGGATGTCCTCTAATCACTAGTACCGAACATGAAAACAAAGTCAAAACGACGGCCAACGGGGTCATCCTAACAGGTGGTAGTGATACGGCCCAAACGTCGTGATACTAGTGAAGCTGAACGACGCGCCCTCCGTTTAAATAGCGTCGCTACGCTCACGGCATCCAAACAGCCCTTGCGCTACCCACATCACTATTATTTAACAAATGCACTGAATCGAAGTTTTGCAAACACCACATTTTCACTAATATAATTAGGAAATGTTTTATTTACAACCACTTATGACTAATCAACTAACGAAAATTCCGTTGTTTATCCTTCACGAGATGTTTTATTGCGTCGGTCCTAAAATTTCAAAAAGTCACACTTCGAGGAAACCTAATTAAATTCATTAAATATCACACTAAAAATAGAAGAAAATCCTACTGTTCATACTCATTTACCTTATTTACACTTATGTTATAATTTACTTACTCTACAGTATTATATTTCAGTGGAAAGTAACTTTCAGGGTTATTTTTACATGCTTTATTATTACACAAAACAAAGCAGTTAACAATACAATTAGCAAAACTTTGAGTTAGCATATATAAAATGAAATTTTATAATTAGAAAATGTGCACACAGAATAAAATTGCTTTCGCCTGAAAATGAACTTCTCACTTTACCACTATTGAAAAGAAACACAATACTGTAAAAATTATTTTTGAAATTGGACCTTCATACTTATATTACTTATTGACAATAGGAGTACAGTTAGCATAGAATGTTCCATCTAAAATTATGATAAAAATAAATTAAACTTAATTGTAATTTGAGAATTAATTAAATTAAATAAAAACTAACTTAGTATCCCAATTGAGATTTTCTAAGTTAGTGACAATGTTTCATTGTTAAAAATTTTCAAAAAAAAATACAGAATCAACTTTCTTTAATACAGATGTGAAAAAATATTAGAGCAAACTTTCAAGCAACAAGACTGCTATTCAAGTTCTGGCTATTTTTGTCAGTATTTAGAAAAATTTTTATTTAACTTATTATCGTATTAACAAAGTGTGAAATTGTGCGAATTGTTTAAGCCAAAAAATTTGAAAAAAAATTCGCTATTTAAGTACTATTTTGTAGTTCTCTGACAGAAAACAAATTAAAATATTTTCGTATTGACCGTAATGAAACACCACATGAGAAAAAATATTAAACAATGAAATCAAAAAAGCAAAAATTAACAACACACAATTGTTAATTATGTATAATTGTATAATTTTTGATGGACTTATTACAATGAAATTTCAGCTTTAGTAAAATTGTCAAAGCAGTCATTAAAGTGTGGTATTATTTTACCTTAAAAAATATCCAATTTCCAATTTTAATCCCGTTTAAATGGCACGTTTTTCCCCATGCTTAAACTTTTAGCATCAATGAATTGAATTTACATTACATTACCCTACGTCGTGGTCTTTAATTAAAATTTACATAACATTTTCCACTACGTATCATTGACAAAAGAATATTTAAAGTCACGAATTAGCACTTGGGAGAAAAAATCGAGAAAAAGCTCTAGCGTCTTTGAAATTGTTCAATAAGCAATTAAGTTAATTAACAAGCACACCTTATTATCGAGTGATTCATATTCACAGACAATTAAATTTAATTGAACATATCGTTTAACAAAAAAGAGCGCTATTTTTCTCATTCACTCGAGCTGTTTTACACTATTTGACTAATATTTGTCTAGAAATTACACTCGACCCTTGTTGTTCTTGGATGATAAAACTTATTTAAGGATTTACGCACACGAATTACGCTCAAGCCAGGTGTAAATATTTACCGTCGACATTTCTTTAATTTAAATTGAGTGTGTGCGAAATTTAAGCCGTTTCAAAATTTGCAAACGAACTTGACCCGATAACCCAGTTGGGTGTTAGTCCCTCGACGTTTGTTTTATTCCATTTTAATGGAAACTAAATCGAGGCTGACTAATCCGCATTCTGATAACCATCACGACAAATTTGTATTACCGCGCCATCAACAACGTACTTTAATTAAAGCGACCACTCTGTGTACACAAGAATTAAGGTACTCCGCCAGGAAATTATGAACAAAACGGAATGATTTTTACGGGGAAAGATGAAAAGACACGTCGGAGATTAAGCTTCTTCTAAATAAAATATTCATAAGACCGCACGACATAAATTCCTAATACAAATGGTTCAGAGATGACGCACTTAAATTAAAAATGTTTTGCTCGGCAACAAACTGACCCATGAGATTGTCGGAAAGCCTTCCACGGCTTCCACGCATACTAATGACACATTAAAAATTACTACTGAAAAATATTTTCAAATTGAAAAGAAAGTCAAGTCAAAAACACCAAGGTTGTCGGATAATCTGAAACATAAAGAATATGGAAATTTAGTTGTTTTTCAGACTTGTTTTGCTTTTTGTGAAAATGAGATTTGATTGGTTGAAATTGAAATTAATTGTTTTCTTATTTACAAGAGGCCTACTGGATGAAATGAAGGTCCAGAGCATTGGTTGGTGAATCCCCAGGTTATGATGTTTATGTCTTAATGTTCAAATATTTAACTGTTTGTCGCCTTTTTTTCTCAAGTTATATTAAAACACCCTTCAAAATTCTGTTTAAGAATAATTAACTAAATTCCTAACTAGGTTTGATAATAAATAAAAGACCTTTTCACAGAATATTTAATCAATTAACAATAATCTAATTATGATTCATTAATTATTAATTAAATTAAGTACCACTTGTGTAAGGTAGACCTAAACTATTATGTGAATAAATTTACATCAGTGGCACTGATTGAAAAAAAAAACAAATAAAAAATTACTCGTAATATTGTAATCTTATTTAAAGAAACCTTATTCACACGTACAATGGCGGACGAGAGATTTTGGACAATTTGTTATTCGACTGACATACAAACGTAAAACGGGCCTTATGTACAACTAACCGCTAGCATTACTGTTTCGTAAAATTGAAGCCTAAAATATAATTCAACTAAAACTTACAAATTTTAGTTTCAAATGTCAATTATTATAACAATAAAGCGTGGTTTGCATTGACATTTTTTGAACTATTATAAATTTTATGTCCAAAATTCAGTGTCCGCAATTGTATTCTTGAATTATTTTATTTATAAAAAAATCTTTTGCAATTATTTGGTAAACAATATAGAAAATCATTGTAAGCTAATTGAAGTATAGGCAAAATTAATTGTAATTTTAAGAAACAAAATATTTTCAGGGTTGCTTTTTAATAGTATTGAGCAATATTTTTGATATTCGAGATTTTTTTACTAATGGTTTCAGATAAAATTTGGGCTATTTATTAATTTTTTGCTAAATACTAGTAGGGTTCGTTTTATCGGTGATTGTTGTCGTTAATTGCCGTCGTTAGTATGCAAATTATCGAAAATTAAGTACTAACTCGATGCTTGATTGGTAATTAAAACTTTTAGAATATCTTGATTCAATTTTTGTTGACTTAATTCTAATAACATTATAATCGTAATGTCGTGGCTTTAGTAATTGGTTTTATGCAAAGTTAAACTTAACGTTTGGTGGGATTTTATAACAATAGCTCGAAGTCAAAGATTATAAATATTTGCCACAATAACTTTTTTTTTCCATTTGTGGCCATTCAGTCGAATAAAACCGTTCCTTATATAAAAGTAAGAAAAGAACTCGAGGCGTCAGATTCCAACAGTGGCTAAAAGTGTAAATACAAACTCTTGAACTTTGAATCTAATTTTAATAAAGTCGTTTGTCAGGTTTTTTGACGCGTGACTAGCATTATCGAATTACATTCGTCCTAGTCAAATTTTTTACATAATTGATATTACTTTATTCGAGTAAATTTCTTGACGCACGTTTCTTACATTAAAATTATAAAATTCAATTAATGTTGATTATTACCACGAAAAAGAAATTTTCAGCGAGATACTCAACACTTAATCGATCTGCTGTCAAGTTTTATATTTATCGTTTGAGAAACTGCTCCAGTGACATCTTCACATATTTCGAGAGTCAATTTATTATTCAATTTACGTCGAGAGGAGTGAACAGAAAACACCCGAAGTTGTAGCAATTGTTCTGAATTTTATACCGACGATAATTGTATGCAAATATCACCGGATTTCCATTAACGCCCAAACAAAAATATCGATTACAAATATAAACATTGTCTAAACGATTTTATACATAGCTGAACCTGACATTGAACCCTGTCACAAATTATTATCATTCGATGATGTTCACCCGGAAATGAAGCAAAATTTATTTTGCAAATCCTCCTAAAGCACGCTCTCTAAAAATAACCCTTATTAATTTCGGTCTCTTTTTATCAAATAAATCAAAAGGCAATGTCCTGTGCAAAGACAAGGCTTAAGCAGCTTATTGTCAGCTTCTTTCTTCCCACTCACGTCCAATTCAAATAAGCAATTAAGCAATATTTCCGCGTAATGTATTATTCTCGACGCGATTTTCTCTTTCAGCGAGCGTCTTTGTTTGGAAGCTGTCAACTTCTATAACTAGGACGTGACAAAGTCGACTCCCAACACAAGAGTAAACCCTTTAGGCTTAAGACCTGGTACCACCGGGAAACTTGTTAAATGTTACGAACTTTGGATCCATAAGCAGGTAAAAAACGACATGGGAATTACCACGATCAACAAGATAACTGAAAAGTGTTTGGTTTATTTCACCCGGCGCATCCACCATTCTCGACTATTAAACTACAGCCCAATAACGAATTTTAACGTAAAATTATGATACACTTTTTCAGCTTCAGTACCGTCTCTTTTTGGAATTATACTGAAATTAATTTAATATAATCCAGTCATCGAACTGGATTATATTAACCCTTTACCAATATTTCTGAGCCATTTATATTTCGTAGAATTAACATTGTGTGAAAAATACGATTCCGACATTTAAAATACCCGACATTTCAAAATCCGGAGATAAACATGAGATAATTTTTTGACATCCTGATACAAGGAGAATGGCTAAATTGACATTATATTCTGTAATCGTTTTGTTTTTAATCTAGGAACAATAGTTTTCAAGTAGTCAACATAATTAATTAAAAAAATACATTTTTTAAAGAGTGCTTTTATCAACTAATTTCAGTAGTCTTTTATCGTCTAGTGAAATAAAGTAATTTTTATGTTCTGTTTATATTCAAGAAATTCTGGTAAGTGAATACAAAATAAAACGAAATATTATACACGACGATAAAGATTGTTTATCTACTCGTGAAAAAAGTCCACTCGTCGTCACTCGTAAAGTTAACCTTTTTAAACAATTTCTTTATCGTCTTATACAGGGTGATTCTTAAATAAACCGACAAAATTGTATCACAGCTTCCCAAGGATAAATGAAGACAAACTGAACCCTTTTTACGTTTATAACTTTTAGGGGCAAAACCCCCTTAATCCGTGCCACTTACGGCGTTTATGAATTGTTGCACTGATCAAAGTACATTTTCATCAAATTAATACCATGGTTTCCACTACCTGTGCTAATACTATTTACAAACATATCAGTGGCGTACGCTTTACCTCAAAAATAACTTTAATAAATTTTATTTGGAGAACGAATAAACAAAGAATTTTTTTAATATTTTTTCCAGCATGTACTCATTTGGTACTACCAAGGATAAAATTTTGTCGGTTTATTAAAGAATCACCTTGTATAATAAATTACTATTGTTATTCAGACCAACAAGAAAAGACCAAGATTTAAAAAAAAATCTAAATGGGTTCCAAGCTTTACATAAGGCTTATAGTTTTCGAGAAAAAAAGCGAATAAAGTTAAAGAAATAAAAAAAATTAAATTGTTGAAAACTGCTAAAATTTTGATTTGGTAGTAGCAATTCGTACTCTGGGTTTCACCATTCGTCAGAAAATGAACCCAAAGGGAATAAATACATTTAGTATTCAGAACTACAAAAAACCCAAATTCATCAGATTTAAAATAATATTATGAGTGGTTTAATGAGTACAAAGCTTTACGTAAGGCTTATAGTTTTCGAGAAAAAAAAACAAACAAAATTGAAGAAATAAAAATTTAAAAGCTGTTGAAAACCCAAAAATTTTGAGTTGATAGCAATTCCTACTCTAGGTTTGACCATTCGTCAGAAAAAAAAATACATTTGTTATTCAGAACAACAAAAAAGATACAAATTTATAAAAAAAAATTATGAATGGTTTAAATCGATTCAAAGCTTTTCGTAAGGCTTATAGTTTAAAAAAAGCGAATAAATTTGAAGAAATAAAAATTCTAAAGTTAATTAAAACCGCTAAAATTTTGACTTGGTAGCAATTCCTACTCTGGGTTTCACCATTCGTCAGAAAATAAACCTAAAGGACTTCCAAAAAAATACATGTGTTATTCAGAACAATAAAAAAAGACCCAAATTTATCAAAATTTAGAAAAATCTATGGATGCTTTAAATGGGTTCAAAGCTTTTTGTAAGGCTTATAGTTTTCGAGAAAAAAAAACAATAAAGTTGAAATAAAAATTTTAATTTGGTTGAAAACCGCTAAAATTTTGACTTAGTAGCAATTCCTAGTCTGGGTGTTACCATTCGTTAGAAAATGAACAACAAAAAAAACACCCACATTTTTTAAGATCTAAAAAGAAACTATGAGTGATTTAAATGAGTTCAAAGCTTTTCGTGAGGCTCATATAGTTTTCGAGAATAAAAAGCAAATAAAGTTGAAGAAAAAATATTTTAAAATTGTTGAAAACTGCTAAAAGTTTGACTTGGTAGCAATTCCTTTCTCTGGGATTTCACTATTTGTCAGAAAATGAACCCCAAATTACTTACAGTTTTCAAAAATGAGTTAAAAACTTTGACTTTGAGAAAGAAACAATTTTAATAAAATTCTGCGAGATATATTTTTTGGGTTTTGAACGCTAAAACTTTGGTACTCATCGAGATACCCATCATTTTAATTTAAAATGCGTATGTCATAATTATTACTTTATTTAATTCTTAGGTAATAAAACGCAGTTTCATAAATATTTTTATTAAAAATAAGTCCATAAATAAGAAAATAAATTAACTACATAATATTTCTAATCGAATCTTCTCGGGGCTGAAGAGCATGTAGCAAATTTTGGTGTTGATCTGGAACTTTATAATAATGAGTATAAGAAGGTGCTACATCCGAGCTTTCGGCTTCATAAGGCCATTGTCGATCATAATGCCCTGAAAACTTATAAATTAGCGAAGTTCTCTTAACTAAACAGCCTTAAAACGCTTTAGAAGAACGCTGACAGAGTAACAGAGCAAAACTACAAAATTCCACAAATTGAAAAATTTCAATACGTACAAAAACCAAAATTGGGAGCCAATTGATCGACATCAACCTCAATAAAAACACTGTCATCGGCTTCTAAAGAGCTAAACTCGTCGTAAAACCCATCCTTACAATGGCCATGGTGGTGCTCAGGCGGAGCGGCATAAAGCCCATAATTAAGGTTACTAGTGGCGATTTTCTTCAAGCCTTGAATTGCGGTAAGAATGAGGGCCATCTTGGCCAAAAGCAAGGCTTTCCCGCCCAAAACCGCAAGAAATTGGAAGCCCATCGGAACCATAATCAAGCCCACGGCGGCGATGCCGAACATTAACAACGACATGAACATATTTTGCTTTTTTCTACCCCTCCCTGGAATTTTTTCACAAGGAGTTCAAGTGCGACAGAAAGCACAATACCCACCTTCAACAACATCGCCGTTTAAACGGATTTTGAGGACGTGGGTATTGAGAAGCTGAGTGAGCCGTTTCAACATTTCGTGCTTCCAGTCGGAGAATTGTCTAAGGAAAAGTCAAACAATAATTTACCTTTTTCCTTACTCTAAATTTGGCATTTAATAGAATTAGGCGCTCCATGATATCGACAATAATCGTAAATATAAAAGCGCGCGTTTATGTTTTGTTCACGATTTAATTACTCTCTAATAAAGAGAATGGAAGCATAAAAATGTTTTCATTTCGATTAGATTTTGTGTTTCCCGTGCAAAAAAAACTCGTAATTATTGATTTATAGTGAAATTATTAAATCGTACTTATGACAAGATTGCCATTCTTCTTATATTTCATGAACCATAAAATTTGATAACAATCGAGAACGAGCTGAGATGTTTTCGAGAGATAATCCAGATTATTGATTTCTTTTTTGACCAGATCCGAACCAAATGAAATTTTTCTCAATTGAAATACGAGTGTTTAAAACCTATTGTAAAATTACCTGAGTTGAGTCGTGTCGTTTTCTTTTCTATACTTAACGAGCTCTATGCCACTTGCAAGCTCAATAACGTCAGCTTTTAGCGACCGATCCAAAGCAAGCAAACTCCTACGCTTTAAACATCGTTGCAGGATTAGCAGGAATTGCTCCTGCGGTCCATCGTGTTGCATACAATTCTGTAATATTAATCCTGTCACTCTACCGGCCTTTTTCCATATGTTTTCGGGTTTATTCGACATTGTAATAAACTTGTCACGAGGGACAAGTGACAAAAGTAAAACGACAAGGCCGATTAAGCGCGGCTTCGATGCTGACATTCTAAAAATAATAAACACAAAAAATATTAAACTTTAAGTTCTTGAAAAGTTTCCCCTAATTCCGATTAAATTACTTTTGGAGAGTGATTACCTCAATAAGGCAAAGTATAAAATCAATCTCCTTAAGCACTTTTTCCCGTTTTATTAATATCGCCGTCTCAGGGATTGGCAGAACACGCAGTATAAAGCGAGTTAATAATAAAATGTTGATTCGATTATGTTGGAAATTAATTCGCTGAATAGCAATTAACTTACATTTGAATCAGTTATGGCGGAGATTGAGACTTACACCAATTTCCTCTGATAAACACACACATTCCATCCACTTCCCTTGCAATCTTTGCCGGCAGACTGAGTGAAACAATTGTAAAGTAAACTCGATTATATATGCTTTTCACAAGAATGCACTCGGAGGGTGGATACTACATCATATGGTGCATGAAAAGCACTCGGCTTTGCTCTTTCGGAACTTCCGCCAACAAATTAATGAGATGTGTCGTCAAATGACCGTTTATTTCGATTGGAAAAAAGTAAATGTTGGTCATTCGATAATTTCACTGAGAAATTAAGGGCACCTGACCTCGTTTTCGCCACAAAGACGCCTCTCAAGCTCCTCCATACAACGGGATACAATCAATCAAAATCTTCTGTACGTGTTTGCTATTGTCGGACCGGAAAAATTGCCCGTCATAGATGTTAAGGTCTTTTAATGTCGGGGCGTGGGCGACAGTTAACAAATACGCGTTTACGACACACCAATTGATCCAAGAACAATAATCGTAAACAACTATTTCGCCAAAATGGGTAAATTGACTAAATTGTCTTCAAATTCTGTAGCCTTAAAAGCTATCAAACTCGAGTGAAGTACACAAAAAAATGTTGTTTGTGTTTTTTTTTTTAGATATCTTTTTCTACATATGGAGTTGAAGATTTTGTTGTACTATTTATTCGGTGTTAAATTATTTAATTATTGTATTTCATGTGAGCCCTTGTTTAAATTTAGAATGCAAACGCTTGAAAGATGCTTTTGACACTTCAAAACGAAGGATCAATGTCTCAAAAAGATCTTTTTGTTTGTGGTTTGATTTGAAATTTGTTTGCAATCGTTGACTGGTGCAGGTTGCATATTTTTCATTTTTATTAGGTAATCATCACATTATAGTTACTGTTTTTAGTGCTTTTTCCTGTTTAATTTTAATTTAATTTAATTTTAAATAATTTAGTTTAATTTTAGACCTGGTGTGGGATATTACTTTACTTGATCTATACTAGTATTTGGATAATGAATTTAACTTTCTAACTTTATATTATCTAGGGTAGGTAAACTGAATTGGCGATTAAAATTTTTATTAAACTTTTTTAAACACACAATTGTTTAAAAATGACACCAAAATTCAAATAATAGTTTAAACTTTGAAAAAGCTCATCTTATGCTGCAAAATATCTCAAAAATGTATACGAAAAAACCATTGAAAAAATTTGGATCGACTCTTATGAACTTCTGTCCGGAAATGCTTCCTAAAGAAGTTAGAGCGTTTAACTCGTTTTTCTCGTAAACGGTGCGTCATACAAAAATAACACAAGAGACTTTTTTTGAAGACAATTAGCCAATAAATTTAAATCTTCCAAAGCAAAATTGTACAACTTTTTCCACTATTTAAATAGATTGGACCCTAGTGCTCCGCCCCCTAATTAGGGTAGACAATTTTTTATATCACCAATAGATTTACTATGAAACATTTTTGGCTCAAATTATTTAGGTTTAAACTAATTGACGAATGATAACGTATTATCAAAAATAAAAATTTTCGAAATTTTTTTGAAAGAGTTCCTACTCTTTGTTTTATGTAATGTTAAATAATAACTTGATTCCAAATTTAAATTTTAATAATTTAGTGATAATGTCAATTTTAATATATGTTTTAAACTGTGCTCCCCCTTTTTTTATTTGTATTTAGGCTAATGTTGGCAATTGATTGCCCAATAGATTTTTACAATTTAGGGAAGTAACTTTATTGTTATCTTCAATCCTTTCAATTTCATCTAATCCGTTTGGAGAAAATGGATCAAATTTTTTTCTTTATGAGTTCTGCAAGATTTTTAATTAAAAAAAAATGGATCAAATTCATCGTTTGATTTTTTTTGAGTTCTGCTAAATTTTTGATATTTTTAATGGCAACTCACTACAAAACTTTACTAAGGCTAGATCTTTATTCAATTTTTATGGAAAAATTTTCATGTCGCTATTTTGAAAAAAAAAACCGCATACCCAACTCAATAACAAAACAAAATTTAATTCTCATTCTCATGAGACGATCACATTTTTATATTATTAATTATTATTTTCTTAAGGCAAATGATTTTTAATTTGATTTTACTTTTTTTCATTTGTATAAATCACAATTTGGAGCTACTTTCCCAGATTTTGATGTCATTGTAACATTTCATTAAACTGTTTTCTTCAATTAGATAACGAAAAATAAAATACGCAGTTATTGTGTATACTTTATTAAATAGAATCTTAAAGTGTTTTAATAAAATCTGAGATAAGAACAAGTTACGAACAAATATTCAAAAATAAAAAACTTTGTTATGCATTTAGTGCCATTACTTCCTTCCAGAAAGCAATACAAGTCTCTGAGAAAACAATGCAATTTTAAATTTATTGCCACTTTTAGAACTTAAAAAGGGATAAAGCATACTTTTTGTATAACAATCTCATCTATGTACAGAGTAAAATTCGAAAATGTGGCAGCCGGTGATCGAAGCTAAGCATTTCCGAAAAACAAAACCAAAAAATTAGGCTGCTTTTTGTACACTAAACTTTGGCAGGCAAAGACCAAATTTAGTTTCAATTCCTGAGAAGACTGGTATGGAGACTGAGTAACCACCGACATGATCCGGATTTTGTGACTTGGGGGCATCACCACCCAACGCTGTGACTTTCAGTTCGGATCCAGCAGGTCTCCTGTAAATCAAAAACAATTAACTTTATTCTCAACTAATCAAATCACTCACGTTCCGCCGAAATCAATATAGAGCATTCTTTGTAAAACTTCATAAGTCACAAGCGTCACACCAAACTGCGGAGACGACCGACACACCCGAGCTGAAAAAGAATTGTCACAACTCGGCTTTGCCTCGACTCAACTCACCAATCGCGCCCTTCCAAAACGCCCTAAACCCTTCCTCTACGTAGATCTTTCTCGCCGCGTCGAAGACCCCATTGTAGGTGGTCTGCCCGGCCCTTGCTACCACTTGGAGTCGGGTTTTGATGACGTCAGCTGGGGTCACCAAACCGGCAGCAGGGACACCAGCAATAGCACCAGCTGCTAGCAACGACAACGGATGGTTATAACCGGTCTCGTCGGCGAATTTCGCTTTCGTGTGAGCGTAAGTCGGGAAATAAATCGCACTGAAGGGGATATCTCTGAGTAGGCAAGCCTTTGCTCCTTTGTATAGCCCAAAAAGCCCCAATTCTTTGACCACATGCCACGCCCTGACCTTCGACCCACCGGCGATCTCACCAGCGACTTGCAACCGGATTTTGACGATTTCTAACGGATTCGTAAAAATCACTTGCGAAGCACCGGCCTTAAAAATAACCATTTTTCAAACATAAAGAAAAAAAAATGTATTTACCGCTGCACCGGAAATCACTTCACCAATCCCAGAAATGTTGCCGTTTTTGTCGTAGAATTTATCTCGCACGAAATCATTCACCTGCAAGACATTTATTATTAAGGAAGAGTTTGTTAAGGAATTCAAACCGTCAGTTTGATGGCTTTTTCGGGCGCTACGCCCATTAATTGTGGTACTAGACCACGATAGAGACCAAAAACGCCCTCATGACGGATTACTTTCTTGAAACAATCGATACTATTTCTGTACATTAATTCGCCGATGAACGAGCCCGTTCGCTGATTCTGCATCCGGGTTTTCACCAAATCGATGGGGTAGACGGCAGTAGCGCCAACCGCTAAAAATTATTATCATCATTCATTACTTAAGTACTTCAGACAACGAATTCAGTTTTCAAAAATTTTAGCAAAGTCGCAAACCATTTTCTCAAGAAATCGTTATTGCAAAATTGTGCTCTTATTTCAAAAAACAACACAACTGATTTTGTAATTAATAAGCATAACACTTATTAAGAATACATTTTATTATTTAAATAGGTAGCGTAAAAACAGTGTCTCTAATTACTGGCTACTACTTTGCTTAGTTTGTTATATTTTTTAAGTACGACACAGAGTGACCCCGTTAAATCCCACATTAATAACGAGTTCTGACAACGATTTTCATCTAAAAATTTGTATGTATGATCCTGCTCAATAAAAATATTTTCAAAATGGGGACACTTCCAGTTATGCCGAAAGTGAGTATCATTTTGTTATTTAAAATAGAAAGCTACGTTTTTATGTATTTTTGGATTCTCTGAGTTATTCTATGAGAGTTATCGACCTTGCATATACCCAAGTTCCGCCGTTTTAGGGATTTTTAGATTTTTTTTAATTTTTGGACCCTCAAAAATCGATAACTTTGCCATTTTTACCTATTATGAAATCGCATTAAGGCATTCGAAAGAGAAAGGTTCCACCTCTCTTTAAGTGGATTCACAATAAAAAAATTATAACAAACCCCCAAAATGAAAGGTTACGTTTTTCTAAATGAGAAACACCAATTTTTGGAGCATTTGATCTGTACTCTCTACACCAATGTTTAATAATTTTCAAATTATAAAACTTTTTTAAGATTACAGAAAATTCATTTATTAGCCATGGCTATTTTGACATAGGTTGCCATAGAAATAAGAAAAAAAAATAAAGAATCAAAGTTAAATAAATGGCGAATTTATGCCTCCATATTTTAAGAAAATAAATTATGCATTTTCAGTAGCAACATTTACACTATCATTTAACATTTAAGCGTTAGTATTTAAAATTTAATTTAAGAATTCGCCAACTTTTAACTTTTTACGTTAAATGATAAATAAAATCGATAAAATTAGTCACAACTCCCATTTCTACTGTGGGGTTTAGAACGCAACACACGCACGTCTATAAGGCAAAATATTTTTGCAAACTCCTATGTGTTTTATGTAGCCTATTTTTTAAAAATAATTTTATTTATTCAGAGCGTGTCATAATTACCAAAAAAATATGTTTTTTGTATACGCTCCCAAAAACAGCTGTTTTAGGGACTCATTTGAGTCCCTAAAATGAGTCTTTTCCGGACTCAATAAAATAGTACGCAAAACGGTTATTATAGGTATTGTTCTCAGTCCCCAAAAACAGTTTTTGCGGACTAAAAAATAAAATTGGTTACTATGGCAACGAATTTTTTTAATTAGTGAGAGGTGTGAATTCGTGTTTTGGGAGCTTTATCAAAAAAATCTTGTATGCACCAAGTACGCAAAAGGTTTTAGGGGAGTCCTCTCATTAAAGACTCGGCTCGTCATTAATTACGATTCGTCCCGTAAAACCCTATTTTGCGTACTTGATACATACGAGTAAATAGCTATTATGAAACACTTTATATTATGTATTTTATATCAGCAAAAATATGTTCTAAGATTGCTACATTTATAATTTTCTAATTCTATTACATAAAAAGACTAAACTATGCAATTTAACAAACAGTATATTCTCAAAAAATATTTTTAATCTAAAAACTTCTAAATTGTAATTTTTAACACTGTTAAAATTTTCGTAAAGGATTAAAAAAGCCGTTTTTTCTTCGTGTTTAAAATGTTTTTTTTTAATTAACAGAATCTGAGAGGATTTTTAAAGGGGGGATCCCCCCTAAAAAGCCTCCACTGTCCCGTATATAATTGCTTACCTCCTGCCACTGAGCCTAGCGTAAACCTGTACATGCTTTCCAAGACTTGTATAAAAACTCCTCTATCTTCGGGACTCTTGAATTATAAGAAAATGAAAATTTTGTGTTTTTTTGGTATTATAGTTACTTACAGAGACGGCGTGTATTTCGGCAAGTCGGTTTGTGATTTGTTTGTAATATTGTTCCGGTGCGATGGCATTAAGGTCATTATAAACGATCCGCCTAAAAACATCGCAAATATAAAAATCTTGACTTGGTTGCTTTGTGAAATATGAGACACGAACCCGTCCCATACCTCGTTCTCTTCGCTATTTAACTGTCTACTTTCCACAGCAGCACAGATAAGACAATATGGTTTTTTAACTAAATATCCATCTCACAGCAACTAAATTTAAGTACTTACAATTCTGCTAAAGCCAATATGTTACAAACAATTTAAATCTTATATAAAAACTCATTTGCACCACCTAGATACTTACCCTGTTTGGTGAAGTACATCACACAGTTGAAACAAAATATCGACTTCGAGAGGGGTCATTTGTGACATCGCCTGTGCCGAGTGCATAAACTCTTCTTTCGTTACTTCTTGCGTCCTATGACCGTTTGTCACATTCAAATAAATACGTTTTGCCAACTCCATGTTGTTTAACAACGAATTAAATGCAATGAAATAGGGAAAGCTGACCCTTCGACCACTGGTTGCCCCTTGAGCCGTCTGATTCACACAAAAACAAAACGAAACAAATCTTCATTTGCTTTTATTCAAGACACGAGTAAAAAATCGTAAAATAGAGTAAATAATAACCTCGATTAGGTGCGATTGTACTTGCTTGGTGAGCAAATGGCTTTTGATATTGGTCATGATGAACTGAAAATCCAACACCGAAATAAAACCACTGCCGGTCTTATCAGCCCTTCGGAAGCCTTCAATTGCGTACTCTTCGTGGAAATCGTGAAGAAACTGACTGAATTCGCTGTAGGACACTAAGCGTTTTTTCTCACGCCCAAAATACAACTGGATAAAGGGCGAATCCATGTTGAAAGGGATGCGTTCATGAAGCTCGGTTTTCTTCATCACCTCAACGAATTCCTCTACAATTTGAGTGAACTAAGTTCCACGCTAGCGTGGAAGTGAGATACTTACGAAAACTAACCATTCCATTTCCATTAGTGTCGAACAATTGAAATGCAGTTTTGTAAAGCGCGTCCGGGAAGCACAAGAGTCCTTCAAAAGCTTGGAACTCCGAGTAGGAAATGAGTCCATCCTTGCTTGTGTCGACGATTCCGGCGAGAAGACGCACCGAATGAGCATTAAAATTTTCCGGTTCAAACAATCCGAGATATTTAATAATAAAATCTTCCGGGGTCATAAATTTCTCCCCGTTCTTTTCTTGCGACGCATACTTGTTAAAAATATCACGTAAATGTTGCGGATTGGCCCTTCGCAAATATCCACCACCCTGTAAAAGCACCAAGTGAAAAAAGTGCCGCACTCCCGGGTCGTTTCAAGGGTAATCAAAAGTCTGACCTCAATAAATAGCCCGGATTGGGGAATTTGTGCCATTTTCGCGCACAATTTTCACTTTTGAGGGCAATCAGAGGGTAAGAGGTCGCAAAGTTGGAAAATATTCGACGTCACAACACAAAGTTTATAAATAGTTAGAATGTGGAAGTGACAGAATGGATCAACATGTCTACTAACTTGTCCGTTATTTTTATTTTCACTTCGGACATTGTGTACACGCAAACGAACGTTAAAATAACCGTGCAAAAATTGACGGACATTGTAAAAATTCGGTAAATAAGAGTCAAACTGGGTGATTTATTTTTAGTGCGCTAGGCAACCGATTACGATGCGAGTGTTCTACGAGCGATTTTGTGCAAGTTTATTCGTTTCTTACGATTATGTCATAGACATAAAGTGGTTAAATAAACAATTGCGCAGGTAGAACTTTAAACTACTATAATGTAAAGATGCGAAAAAAGTGAGACCGGTATGGAGGTACTGTGGAACATGTAGAAGGTGAAGAAAAAATATGGTACCAAACGTAGCCAGGTTTCTGTATTATGCTTAAACTATAGTCTGTTTTTTTTTAAACGAAAATCACCAAGTCAAAATATTAGTGAAAAAATTGGTAGCAGCTTATAGCCACAAATATAGTTTGCTTTTTGTTTTTGCACTAGAAATTTTGTTAAAAAAATATGTCAATTATGGTCATGTTGTAATGTTGTTTTCCTACAACCATATACGAAACTAGATCATAACGCACAATTACATATGCGCGAAAATTGGGAATATCGTACGAGGTTGAAAACCTATGCGATTTGTTTTCGCACTGTGTGTTAGAAATCTAACGCACAATTCACACTTGAATGTTTTGTATTAACGTATTTTTTTGTATCCATTATAAAAAATAAATCGTTATTCAACGTATTTTTGTATCCATTATAAAAAATAAATCGTTACGAAAAAAAATATGTTCGTAAGAAAAAAATTATTTATGGTCGTAGGAAAAATAGTGTACAAAACTTAGAGGAAAGTGTCTAACGCACTCACGGTATTGCCTGCACTCGGCTAACGCCTCGAACGCAACTTTCCCGCTTGTGCGTTATTTATCACTTTCCATGCTCGTTATGCAATATAGTATAAAATTTTGGCTTGTATAAATTTTATGTGCCTGTTTGCTCTTTGAAAACGTTATAATCGAATACCTGAGGACATACATCACTAACCAGTGTTAATAATATACATAGATAGAAACACACTGCAAGTACAAACCACATGTGGTGGGAAAGTAGTATATTCTATAACCAGTTTAGAATTTGGCAAGTACAAGAAGTGGAAACGATTGTCTCACAAGCCAAAGGCGAGGGTGACGGTTCCACGGGTGCGGAATATACCATTCTAAACGAGTTTCAGATTATACTTTTTCTACGACTAAAATCACAATCTGAAATTTAGAAATTTTAACAACTGTCAAAAAAATAGAGCTACTTGTAACCATTCTAAAACTATAGTGTGAGAATATTCTCGCACAGTTTTACAGAATATGACTATTATATATTAAAAATCAACCAAGATAATTATAATTCTATAAAAGTCGTATAAAAAATGAGTTTCTTGGAACAAAACTGTAATCAAAAAATTCTATACAGGAAAAAGTAATTTTGCAACAGATACAAGCAGGTATTATGAAGATTAACAATAAAGTTGGTGTGATTAAAAAAAACATAAATTTGCTAGTGGTGCCAACGTTACGACTGTTTGACATTTTCTTTTAGAAAAAACAGGACTTCAGAACTTTATCTACTTTTTTATAGAAATTAATTGGTGAATGATGAAGTACTAAAAAATGTGATCGCTTATTTTCAAGAATAATTTTTTTTGGAATTTGGTTTTTGTTTTTGAGTTTTGCAACGTTTTCATTTTTTTATGGTTACCTACTACGTTTTTTTATCGATTCGGTGACTGAGTGACAACCCTCAAAATTAGTTACTTTTGAATTATTGTGTTGCATAATTGACATACAAAGCCTATGTCACCTTCATATAAACTATAAATTGAATTCAATTTTTGCCGAAAAAAATTTTCATAGTAATAGGTTGCTATATTAAAATAAAAAAATTCATTACGTAGGAACAAAAAAATCACTCACAAATCCGATTCTTATTATTTTTTTATCTAAAAGTAAATAGTTTAACCAAAACACATTTGTTTCCATACTTTTTGTTCATCATTAAAGTATCTCAAAATTTTAGGTATTTTTTTTTAATTTTGATCTTAAACATATTAATATGTTTTTTTGAAGCTTTTGGTCAACTTGAAGTCAGAAACACCTCTGTCACAATCAGTTTCCTTTCCGGTACAACCTGCAGGCCAGAACAAAATTATTTATTAGTAAAACTCCCTTCATTTTTCTATTTGTCATCACCAAAGAAATAAAATAAATAAAAAATAATAAATAATTCGATAAATAAAAAGTCACTGCGATATTAGCACATATCTTAAGCTTGTCGATTAATATTTTTTTTGATTAAAAAAAGATTTTTTTTGTTGTTTCATTGTTTATTTTTTGTTGCATTCAACAAATTATTAATCTTATTCATGACAATGTCATTGATAAAATCGATTGATAAGAACATTCACCAAATGATGGAAATTATCAACAAACTGATGTCTACTTGAGTGCACATTACTGATCATGAAAAAATAGCGTGATTAATACAAAATACATATACAAAATTTGTTAAAAGGAAAAAAATAAACAATTTCTAATTAAAACTTTAGGTAATTTATTGTTATTCAGTCCTAGAAATACTTAGAGATCTAGTCAGACAATAGTTGTACAAATTAATTTATCTACGACAAGACTTTACGGCTTCTTATCCAATTAATTTTTTTCTCAATTTTCCAATTACTGAAAAATTGCCTTGAACCTTTAACCAACATACAAATTAAATTATGAAATAAACGCGAGTAACATTTCTTATTTCGTAACAAATGACGTACGATTCGAAATGTTTTAAGTACCATTTTCTGATAAATTTGTTATCTTCAATTCTTGAGATATGGGAAAAGAAAGGAAAAGTGGATTTCGAGTGGCACTTGACACAATGATGACACGCTTTAGGATAATTAAAAAGGTCACAAAAGAATATTTTTTGCAAAAAATTCTACCCCGAAAGCCCCCGTTTTTTGTAAAATGCTTTAGATGTTTTAACAGCGACGTAAAAAAATATTATACATTATTTAATGTTGTGTTTTTTTTTTCAACAAAATTAGCTAATTTTTGGAGATAATTAAAATAAAACACGCAATAATCAAAACTTACTTAAAAAACAAGACTTACCCACCTCTTGGCAATAAGCTTTAGCTAAAAATGTGTCCATTCCCAAACAACACAAAAATCTCATAAAAAATCAACACAATTTGTTTAGTAAAAAAATGTCTCCAATGTTTATTAAATTTATTTAACAGCCCGTTTTAGAATAAACCCTCAAAAACTCTGCAGGGTTTACATTTGACAGAAACGACATTGATTGATAACACGAGGTCAACGTTATCGTTACAGGTTTCTGTAATCGTCTTACTCAACTCGCACCTTATCACTAATTTCTCACATAAATATAAACCATTATCAAAATTTTAATTAACTGAAACATGTGACTTTGTTTGAAATCAAAACAAGGACATAATTGTATTTTTTCACTTGACACTGACAGTTAACCTAATTGCTGTTTGACACCTGTCAAAATTGACAACTATACTATAAAATAATACTCAAATTCTTTTAAATTTCTCTCTAAACTTGAAATGGAGGACGAAAGTCCTAAACCCAAAAAACACACCGACAAAAATAAACACCCAAAAGAGGTAAAAGCACAAAATGTCAAACCTAACCTCTACAATTTTTTTTCAGGACACTATCCTCAATCACTTGGAGATTTCAGTCGCAGAGTCCGAAAAGAGGGCCAATGGAACGCTGAATCTACGTGAATTTTACACAGTTTACCTAATTGAGACCAAGTGAGCGACTTGAGACACCCCCATTTTTTATTCATTTATTATTCACAGATTAACAGACTCCGAATTCCAAAACAAGTTTCCCAAATTAACAACAGTATGGCGACGTTATACAGAATTCGAGCAACTTCGAGGCTATTTGGAAGTCACCTATCCTTACATAATTTTGCCCCCTTTACCTGAAAAGAGAGTCATGTTTGGGTGGCAAAAAATCTCGAGTGACACTTTCGACCCGAATTTCGTCGATCGGCGACGAGCCGGTCTCGAAAATTTTCTTTTGAGGATCGCCTCACATACGGTTTTGAGTTGGGATAAACACTTTATCGAGTTTTTGCAGCATGAAGATGAATGGAGGGAGACTTACAAGAGCAATGGTGACTGGTTTTAGACCCTTGTAGCCCTTTTTAACTATCTTATTCAGGTTACTTACAATTAATGGAAAATAAACTCAAAGCCTTAAACCTCTCAATGAGACTTAGAAACACCGATCCCAGATTTGAGTCAATAAAAGACTACAGCCACATATTCCAAAACAATTTAAACAACTTGCTGAAAGCTCGCTCCCGCGTTGCTGAAAAACAATACAACGTGCACAAACTTCACGCAAATTACGGCCGAGTTTTCAGCGAGTGGAGCGCCGTTGAAAAAGACATGGGCGATGCCTTGCAAAAAACAGGGCATTATCTCGATTCTTTAGCTTCAAGCATCGATGCTGGTCTCGAGGACGAAGAACTACTGGTCGACCAATTAAAAGAGTACTTATTTTTTGCAAATTCGTTACAAAATGTGTGCAAAAACTACGAGTACCACCAACTACAACTTGAGGGCGCGGAAGACAACGTCGCTAACAAAAACGTAGAGCGAAATAAAGCCCAACAAGGCAAAACCAGCCTCATGTCGAGACTTTTTGGGGCTGTGGACACCGATGAAGTCAGGGAACTCAAAGTTAATTTGTTGGACCAGCAAATACAGGAAGGGGCAGCGGCTGTCAACGCGTCAAAAACCAATTTAAAGTATTTTTTCCCTAAAAATTATAATTGTTTTAAAAAACAATTTCAGTGAATTTTCCACAAAGGCCTTAGCTGATATTGAACGATTTCAGAGACAAAAAGTCTTCGATTTGCAAGAAACGTTAACGAGTTACGCGTTCTTGCAGTTAAAAACTGCTAAAAAAGTAAGTAGCGATTATAGATTGTTTTTTGTTAATTGTTTTTCTCAGGGCCTCCAAACCTGGCTTCAGATACGCGATTGTTTGCAAAATGTACCTTAATTTTTTGTTAATTTTTATTTATGTGCAATCTATTTATGTACTCTCAAAGCAGTATTTATATTTCTATTGTAGCTTTGTTAAAACTGAGTCTGTATGAAATACTTGTAATAAATTATTTTTGTTTTATTCCGAGTGTTTTATTATTACTTTCAATTAAAGCGTTTTTCTTTCGAATTGCAAGTGCACTGACCGAATAAATAGCTCAAAAATGATAAAAAAACTGCACCACTCCAAAAAATTAAAGGAACAAAAAATTTTTTGCTAATTCATCGAAACATGGTCGTATCTAGATTTAAAAACACCATTTTAAAGCTTTAAGTTTCTAGTTTTGCGATCTTTTGGCAAATATTTTTTTTGTGCTGCAGTTATCACGCAATCCTAAGTAATAGCGCAAGAAAAAAAATTCTAAATTTGTTTTTGAACCACGGACGTGGAGAATTTTTTTTTAGTTAAGTCAATGCATAGGCTAGATTGTATATTCGTTTACCTTTAATATGCTTTTTTATTTTCTTTTTACATTAATTTGTCGCTGAAATATCTGACTTTAAATGAAAAAGGATCCTTTTGTCTTTGATCATCTACAGTGCCGGCCAAAAATAAAGAAACAATTGATTTTTTATTTATTTTTCATATGTATAAATATGAGAACGAAAACGATTTATGTGCACTAGACTTACTAAGCTTAAGCTTTTTGGTCAAGTTGGATAATGTTTCTACATATAGTGAACTTTTTACTATTTTGCTAAGGACAAAAGTAAAGAAACATTTTCATTTTACCTATTGTAAAGTTAATTACAACGTCGGTGCAAAACAGTTCCTACAAAAATTGTTCTTTAAAGAGTTGTAATTATGCCTAAAGGTAAACAACTGTCTCAAGACTTGAGAAAACTAATTATAGACAAATTTAAGGCGGGTGAGAAACAAATTGACATTGCCAAGCAATTGAACTTAAATCACTGTGTTGTATCGAAAATAATTGCCTTATTTAAAAAAAGAAAAACTTTAGTAAGTGCTCCAAAAAGTGGAAGACCGCGTAAAACGGATAACGTGACTGATAAAAAAATTAAAAGACTTTCTCAAAATAATCCATTTTTATCTGCTGTAAAAATAAGACAACAAATTCCAAATGTGGGTATATCAGTGAGGTCCATTCGACGAAGTCTGAATGAATTTGGACTCTACGGGCGAAAACCAGCAAAGACACCGTTTATTTCTGCCAAAAATAGACAGCGCAGATTGGAATTTGCTAGAGAGCATTTAAATTGGTCACCTACTCAATGGAAAAATGTGTTATTCTCCGATGAATCAAAGTTTAATCTGCATAGCTCAAACGGAATTCAGTGGGTAAGACGACCAAAACAGGAAAGATTTAATCCTAAATACACAAAAGGGACTTTGAAACATGGTGGTGGCAGCGCTATGTTTTGGGGTTGTTTTTCCGGTGACGGAGTAGGACCACTCCACGTTATTGATGGAATAATGGACAGATTTCTTTATCTTCGTATTTTAAGAGAAGAAATGCTTCCTTTTGCTGAAGATAATATGCCGCTACACGATAATGACCCCAAACATACAGCCAAAGTTGCAAAGATTGGATTTTAAAGGAACAAATACCTGTAATGCAATGGCTTGCTCAGAGTCCCGATCTCAATCCTATTGAGAATCTTTGGGACCATATTGATCGTCAATTAAGAGAAGAAAACAGTCGAGGTTTCAATTCAAAACAAGAATTAATCGAAGCCGTAAAAATAACGTGGAAAAACGTAAGCTTAGAATATATTAATAAGTTAATCGATTCCATGCCGAAAAGATGCGCTGAGGTAATTAAACATAAAGGATTTGCAACCCATTATTAATCTGTAACATTTATATGTAATTATAAATTTATTGTTTTTTCACTTTTGTCCCTTGAAAAAATAAAATAAATTTTTCATTCAACAACAACTGTTTAATTCTTACTAAATTCTGTAAAATATATTTAAGAATAACCCAACAAATTACTTGTAATAAATTATATAAAAATCAAATACACCTACAATGAAATATTTAATATTCGTAAATGTTTCTTTACTTTTGGTCGATAGTGTATATCTCAGCAAACGATGCTCGCACAGAGAATATAAGGGTAGTGTCAAAAACTGGAATAAATGTCTTATAAGATCCTA